TAATACTTCTGTGGGATACAAATTACCTGCTAGACACAATCGAGGTAAGCCTCCAAATAGATATTTGCCGGATGCTGAAGAGAAGAGAAGTACATATCCTATTGCAAATTATGTGTCAACCAAAAGGTTGTCAGGCCCAGTAAAGGCATTTATATCGAACGTGTCCGCAATTCGTATTCCAGAAGGGGTACGGGATGCTCTGAAAGATCCCAAGTGGGTTCAAGCAATGGAGGAGGAGATGCCTGCATTGGAAAAAAATGAGACTTGGAAGCTAGTAGATTTACCCAAGGGAAAGAAGACTGTGGGATGTAAGTGGGTCTTTTCTGTGAAGTACAAAGCAGATGAATCGATTGAGAGGTACAAGGCAAGACTAGTTGCAAAGGGGTATACGCAAGCTTACGAAATTGGCTATCAAGAGACATTTTCTCCGGTTGCTAAACTTAATACTGTTCGGGTCTTGTTGTCTCTTGCAGCTAATTTAGACTGGCCACTACACCAGTATGATGTCAAGAATGCTGTAAGCTAGAGAGATCATTGTATGGTTTGAAGCAGTCTCCACGAGCATGGTTTGGCCGGTTCACTTTGGCGATGAAGAGGTATGGATATTCCCAAAGTGACTCAGATCACACATTGTTTCTAAAACGACATCAAGGGAAGGTAACAATGTTGATTATCTATGTTGATGATATGATTATCACTAGAGATGATTTGATAGAAATATATAAGCTCCAAGAGAAACATTCTGAGGAGTTTGAGATGAAAAATCTTGGGGGGTTGAAATACTTCCTAGGGATTGAAGTAGCGAGGTCGACAGGGGGAAAATTTCTCTCACAAAGAAAGTATGTGCTAGATTTATTGGCAGAGGTGGGCATGTTGGACTGCAAACTTGTAGACACACCAATTGTTCAGAACCATAGATTTGGGGAGTATCTAGATCAAGTGCCAACAAATAAAGAAAGATATCAAAGGTTAGTTGGCAAACTAATTTATCTATCGCATACTCGTCCTGATATTGCATATGCGGTGAGTATTGTTAGCCAATTTATGCATGCCCCAAGTGAAGATCATATTAATGCAGTGTTGCGTATACTTCGCTACTTGAAGTCTTCTCCAGGACGAGGTTTGAGGTTCTTAAAAGGGGGTCATCTTGAAATCGAAGGATTTACTGACGCGGACTAGGCCGGGAGTATTCATGACCGAAGATCAACTTCAGGATACTTCACTTTTGTGGGAGGAAACTTAGTTACTTGGAGAAGCAAGAAACAAAAAGTAGTAGCATTATCAAGTGCAGAGGCTGAATTTAGAGGGATGGCCAAAGGGGTGTGTGAGCTCCTATGGCTTAAGAAGTTAATGTCAGAGATTGGGTTCGCTCCTAAAGCCGAGATGAAGTTGTTTAGTGATAACAAAGCAGCAATTGATATCGCTCATAAACCAGTTCAACATGACCGTACCAAACATGTTGAAGTGGATCGTCATTTTATCAAGCAAAACTTGGACGCCAAAGTGATTCGATTTCCATTTGTACGATCTGAAGATCAGTTGGCAAATATTCTGATGAAGGCTGTGTCAAGCATGATCTTCTACAGCTCACTTGACAAGTTGGGCGTTCACGACATCTATGCATCAACTTGAGGGGGAGTGTGAGAATGAGCTGTAAAATATATTTATGATTGTAATTAGTTAGAATCAAGGATTATCGTTAGCTAGTTTAGAGGATATATTTTTTTAGATTCTTTCTTTTCTTTGTATATATACGCCTCTAGGTCATTATAAATTAATGAAGAAGATATACAGAAAAGTGAGGAATGTTGTTTTCTTCCTCGAAATATCTTTGTGTTAACAGTTTCATTACCAGTTTGTTGGCGGTATCAATGATCTCAATAGAGCCTAACTCGGACGATGCTTCTCACTTCATGAACTATAAAAACCAAATCCTTCTTAGGCGCGGCGAAGGGCCTAGAGCTCACCATCCACGCTCTTGGTGATTGTTGCCCTTCTACTTGGTTCAAGGCCTAATCGAACTCGAAAAATCGCAAGCTACGCATCACAATGAGTCTTCGAGTCTATTTTCCTATGATGTGTAGCTCGCGTTGTTTATTCCAAGTGTAGCTTTTCCGTGTTCGCATTTTTCCGAGAGGGTGTCGGCTGCTCCTGCACTTGCCGGCATGCACAGAAAACATCGATAAAAGCTCATAAGGAAGATCATGAGAGGACGTCAGAGAAACACGATGTTGATCTGCCTTCAACGACAAGGAGTCGATATCGCAAGGGGGAAGTCCGGTGATAGCAAAAACCTTCAGTAGAGCAACAGTAGTCCCAAAGTAAGAAAGAAGCAATTTGCAGAAGGAGACTAGAAAGAGCAGAGGGTTTTCAATGATTGTTCGGAAACAAAGTTTTCTTCCTCTGATTAGGAAGCCCACTTCCGTTTGTATAATGACATACCCAGGGACCTCAGGGTGATGGCGCAAATAGGATGCTTATAATAATGGTAAAATCGATGAACAACCCATTTTTTTAAACTCATATTTGACAATCGAGTGGTAAAATGAGCTGTCTAAAATTTCCAAAACAGGTTGAAATAATGAGTTTAGAAGATGAATGCTTTACTACATGTCGATCTTAGTGGGATAGGTACTTGCCCCCATTTCAAAACCCATTTTAATTACAAGTATAATTACTCTATGACTGAGGTGTGGAGAGAAAGAGAGCGGGGGAAGGGGGGAGACAGCTGGGAAGGCCACTGATGGGGGCCGCGACCCTCGGCCGACATTGCTCACAACGGTGGATCTCGCCAACAACGTCCCCCGCGGTCGCACGGTGGTTTCTCCACTCGCTGACAGCCTTTGCCTGAAGCCACGGTGATCTCTCTCTCTCTTCAACCTTTGCCCAAAGCTGCTTTTGACATCCTACAAAAAGGGTTGCGCAATACTTCTTCGATAATCTCCTATTGAAAACTTCGGACTTCAGTCTATACTCAATATCCACTTCAATCCATTGCCGTTTCGAGCAAATTCGAGTCAATCATGTTTACATCTCTCGACTAAAGTGTGATCTCTTTCGTCTTGTATACGTATAGAGACACATGTATCTAGGATGACATGGATTACACTTAATAAGACAGCATATAACGGGTATTGCAAATTGCACAGCTTTCTCGATTGGTTGTTTTGATAAGTGTTTTTGAAGCACTCTTTAACGGTATTTATCTATCGATTTGCACAATGCAGCAATACAACGACGAAGCCGAAGCGAAGTTCAATTCCAAGCAGAAGAGGGAAGGAAAGACGGTCCTACAATATATATTTTGCTTTCATGGGGTCCCTTTCAAAACCTAATAGAACTAACTTAACCATAACCGCAAATTAGGTTACAGGAAAAGCATAGATCAAGCTTTGCAGGGAACGTGCATCCATGGACGAGGGAAGTTGGCACGTAACTCGATTTCGGAAGGAGTTCTGTGATTGGGTAGGTAAGTTGTCGTGACATGTTGAGACACGGGGACAAGAGGGGCCAATCCTCCTCGTTCTCTCCCTTTCTTAGAGATCAAAACCCATTTCTTCTCTTCTTCCTTAGAATATTCTGTCCAAAGAAAATAGAGCAATAGGGCACTACTAATTATTCTACACTTGCTCAAAAAAAATATAGTTTGGTCAATAGTAAACATTTCATTCATATCTCAAGAGTTCAAAATGATACATGAGAGACTCAAAACAAAACAAATCCCAAACAGTAAAGTAGAACAATATAGCATAAACTACTATGATAAGCACACGCTCATCCCATAAAAATAGATCTGTCTCAGCATCAAAATAGAACGAACGGTGGCTGATTACCAAATCTCGCATCATCATAAGTGATGAGCACACACCGTAACCTCATTCTCCAATAGCTACGACTTGTCCAGTGGGCGGTGCCCGCTTAGATTCAGCGTCCTCAGCATCACCGTATGAAGACACCAAAAATAGGTTGAACAGGCTCCTAAATCTAGATCTAGATTGGGAGAGATTGAACGAGCACAGAAACGCCTTCAAAGAACTCCCATATCTAACTCTAGATTGGAACAAAATAGCTTCCATATCCATATCTAGATGGAGAGATGAGAACTTCCAAAGTTGGGAGAAATTGTATAGCCGCTTCCAGTGTAGTATAAACTCATCGTATTCCTCCTCGATTCTGTCCAAATTACTCGGGCATGAATGTGTGTCTAAATAAAATAGAATCAAGGGAATTATTAGGTATTCTGTTCAAAATTCAAAACCACACATTTACGCTTATTAGTCTCAATATAGACCTCATACCTTTTACAAAGATTTTATTGGTCGTCTTTAGATGACTAGAATTTGCTGACGTTGGTTGACATAATTTTCCCATTAAGCTAGGGTTTTCAGTTAAGGAAAAGGTTCGAGCGGGCCGTGCGTACTCTTTTCCAAACGCGATTGCAAATATCCAAGCCCTTTTGCCAAATTGGCACCGAGTTAACGCTAGACATGAAACTAAGTTGACATATGCGTGCTTGGTTTGTCTAAATAACCGGTTATAGGGACAAATGAAACTGCTAATACTAGAGTTTGTAAAGAGGAGTAAGGACCGGTGAATCCATTAGAAGTACATAATTACCTAAATTCATCTCAATGAATGAAACTTTACTATATCTAGTATTATCACATCATATATATACACAATTATTCAATCATTTTGTCGCATCAGCATACCAAAAGAACTCTTCATACGTGCATGCACAATCACCGAACGTGTGCAAAAAGTAGGAACCATCATACTCACTAAAAATTAGTCGGGATGCTCAAGGAGCCGGAAAGACCGCTCCCATCGATATAAAAAAGAACAAAAGAAAAACGAAAAACCCTAAGCAAAGCCAAGAGAAGAAAGAAGAGGCCAAAACGAAGGTGAGCAAAATATGCCATCAGCCCATACGTCAGTTATGATCTTACTATATCATAATTTATATCCACCATTTGACATCGGATCTCCTACGTCACGATGCCTACATCTTCAATTCAAACCCTCGAAAACATTATTTTAATCTTGGTTGAGTACTGTAATGGCGTGCCCCGTAATTCGACCCGGTCCATAAAGCCCCAGAAAAACTCCCACCATCATCTCCAAACAAAGTCATCGTCGTCAACAACTTCACTTCACACTTTCACCTGCAACTGCAATCCTCTCTCTCTCTCTCTCTCTCTGCACACTTCTCTCCATGGCAAGCGAGTCCAAGCGAAGCCTCCACATCGCGATGTTCCCGTGGCTCGCTCACGGCCACATCACTCCCTTCCTCGAGCTCTCCAAGTTCCTCTCCCTCCATGGCCACGCCGTCTCCTTCCTCTCCACCCCGAAGAACATCTCTCGCCTCGCCCGCGCCCGCCCCGAACTCCCTCCCTCCATCCGCCTCGTCTCCCTCCCCATGCCGCACGTCTCCAACCTCCCGAGCTCAGCCGAGTCGACCTCCGACTTGGACATCGACTCCGTCCCCTACCTCAAGAAGGCCTACGACCTGCTCGAGCCGGCCCTGACCCGATTCCTCTCGGGCAGCGGCGTGGACTTCGTGATCCACGACTTCGCCAGCTACTGGCTCCCAGGGGCTGCGGCTCCACTCGGGGTCGGCTCGGTGTTCTTCAGCACCATCAACGCGACCTCGCTAGCTTTCCTCGGCCCGCCATCGGAGCTCATTAGCGGCCGCTGCAATAAGCCGGAGGACCTGACTTGCGTGCCAGAGTGGATCCCGTACGAGTCCACAGCTTGCTTCAGGCTCCACGAGGTGCTGAAGCACCAGCGATGCATGGACGAGGAGGTCTCCGATTTCTGCAGGTTCGGCCACGTGATTGATGGCTGCGATTTCGTGATCGTGAGGAGCTGCCGTGAGTTCGAATCGGAACCGTTGAGCTTGTTGCCAGAGATTTTCCAGAAGCCCGTGATTCCGATCGGGCTAGTGACACCGGCTATCCGAGAGGAGGTTGGAGACGACGATGAGAAATGGAAAGCCCTAAAAAGTTGGCTCGACACTAAGCGCGAGAAATCTGTGCTTTATGTCGCTCTGGGAACCGAAGTGATTTTGAGTAGCGAGTTAATGAACGAGTTAGCTTCCGGGATTGAGAAATCCGGGTTACCATTCGTTTGGGTGGTTAGGAACTGCCCCATCCCGGCCGGGTTCGAGGAGCGAGTCTCGGACCAAGGATTCGTCTGGGCGGGTTGGGCCCCGCAGACTCGGATCTTGGCCCACGAGGCGATTGGCGGGTTCCTGACGCATTGCGGCTGGAACTCGACGATTGAGGCGCTGAGCCGCGGGCTGCCCCTAGTGCTGTTCTCCGGGGGTAGCTCGGACCAGGGCGTGATGGCCCGGTTCCTGCACGAGAAGCGGGTGGGGTTCGAAGTGCCCAGGGACGAGGTGGACGGGTCGTTCATGGGCGACGTGGTGGCTGAGTCAATCCGGCGGGTCATGGTGGAGCGCGAGGGCGAGCCGATAAGGGCAACTGCATGGGCCATGAAGGAGGTGTTTGGCGACACGGAGCTGCAAAACAAGTACCTGGAGGAATTCGCAGGGATCTTAGAGAAAGGTGCCACTAAGGACCAAAAGATGGTGAACTAAATTTGCTAGACGAGTACTGCTAAGTATATCAAATATTGAATATGAATCGATTTAAGATTTGTCACATTCACCTTTTAGATTGATATATATGATATTAACTTTAGCATACCTAATATTATTCGCGCAAATTCGCTATATATGGAGTTTGGAAAAGTTATTATCGGGTCGATCATATATGTTCCAATGAACACAAAAAGTCTAATCATTTCATAAATAGACTTAAGGGAAAAGTACCAAAAAAGTCCTAAACCTATTGCATTAGTACCAATTCGGTCCTAAACATTTTAATTGGATCAATTTAGTCCTAAATCTTTTTACATTTGTACCAATTCAGTCCATCTGGCTAATTTAGGCCCGAAATCACTGACGTGGACGCCGGCCATCCTATGTGGCACGGCCGGCGCTAACACGATCGGCACTAACGTGGATAATTAACACAATATTCAATAGATTAAGTAAAAGTAGAACAAAAGCTACCATTAAAATATAGGCTACGAGCCAAAAGCTACCATTCCCTAGATTTAGAACTTTGTACGCTCAAATGTATGAGGGAGGAGACAGGGAAAAAAATATCAAAACCCGACATTGCGGGCGACCCAATTTAAAATTTGCCACAATTAGAATAAGAAAAATTATTCTAGAAACATAATAATAAAATAATTTATTTGAAGACGACTAAAACATCCTCTCAACACATTGACTAGAAAATTTCCGGGACATATAATTATTTCGCGGAAAATGAATAATTTTGAAAACATTTTCCCATAAAACTAACGTCTATATCAGTTACAAAAATGAATGAACGAAAAATATTTTCATCATGCACTAAAATATTTAGACATAAAATTGTTATCGATAATGAAAATATTTTTCATTGACTAATTATTTAAGGTAATAAAAGCGATTATTTTTAGGCAAATATTTTTCAAATCATTCATTTTTCACGAAACAAATAGTTTAGAGAGAAAGCCACCAGGAGACAAGTACATATGCTTGGCTGTCGGGTAACCTTTGAATGAGAATCCTAGAATTCAATCATAAATATAATGCTAAGCTTGAAATTTTTATGTGAACTTAGATATTTGGTAGAGCTAATGAATAGAATCCCTCATGGAGCTAAAACAGTACGGCTTATATATGGTGGCATGGTGCTATGTATAATTGGAACTAATCTAATTTAACGAAACACGTATACAAAGAAGGCTGCACCATCCATCTGCCATGTGTAAAAATTAGTAAGATCATCACCAACTATTCTAAAAGGTAAAACTAATGGATGAAGGCATAATGTAATATTTAATATTCTCACACGTTAGTTAGATTTTTGCCTTACACTAAAGCATGGTATAATACGGGAGATAAATGAGGGCCCTAACACTAGGGTGCGGTTTAGTAAGGGAGACAAATAAAGAGTCTGGAAACATCTAAACTCAAACTCTCCAGCCCTGATGCCTTGTAAAATTTTTTAGAATCACAGCCAACTACTCTAAAAGTTTAAACCATTAAAAGAAGTCGTGGATTGATATTTAAATATTCTAATACCACGTTGCTTCAACTTCTTCTATATTATTACTTGACAAACCAGGCCCTTTGAATTGATATTCTATTAGTCGAGCGCTAGCACCCCTATAGGTTTAGGCTCTTCCGCTATCAATGAAACCGGACTAGATCCAAGGCCTTGTTTGTTTCATGAAAAATGAATAGTTTGGAAAAAAAAATTAAAAATGATTGCTTATATTGCTTACAAAAATTAGTGAATGAAAAAATATTCTCATTGTTTATGAAAATGTTTCAACATAAATTATTGCCGATAATGAAAACATTTTCCATTTACTAAGCAATACGAACGATCATTTTTAGTAAAATATTTTCCTGATCATTCATTTTTTGTAAAACAAATGGAGCGATAAATTGCAATTGACTCATTTATATGTGGAAAATTACCAAAATAGTTCTAAACATATTGCAATTGTGTCAATTTAGTCTTAAACATTTTGCATTTGTGCCAATTCAATCCATCCCACCAATTTTGGCCGGCCAGTGCTGACGTGGACGCCGGCAGACATTGGTCATCCAGCAAACGTTGACATGGCAAATTTTTTTTTTTTTTTGGATTTTTTTTGTACATGTTCAGTTTAGTCCATTGATTGTATGAAAATGTTCAATGTTGTCCTTCTATTAATTAAATATCAAGGACAACATTAAACATTTTCATACTATCCAGGGACTAAAATGAACATGTACCAAAAGGGACCGCAATGAACAAATTAAAAGTTCATGGATGACATTGCACATTGGGTTAAAGTTCAAATACCACATTGAATAAATTTAAAGTTTATGGACCATTGTGTTATTTACCCTTAGTGCAATGATAGCATTGAATTTTAGATTTATTATACCATTGGCCTCTCAAGTTCTTTCATTTTCCACGAACACCTCTTTGATTCTAGTATCTACTGTCATTTTCGAGCAATATCTCCTCTGCTTCGTCCACGACCACTACCTTGAAAACAACCTCAACCACAATCTTGACTAGTCCCTTGAGTTTGCACAAGATCTCTACTTTGGTCATTCTCATCTCATATGGTCAAACTAGTTTGGAGTACTTATTGACTCATGCTTGTTTCTTCTTAGTCTTTCTTCATGGTCTAGAGAAGAGGTGGTTACCAAAGAGTTCACCATCAACCTCCACAAGCATCTCCATGGATACACATTCAAGAAAAAGGTCCAAACATGTAAAAGATTCGCAAGTTTGCCCAGAAAGCCATGGTACCAATGATGTGAGAGTCGACGAGTGGCTCTGAAACCAATTAAATAAGGATAATTTGAAAGTGAAAACACTCACAACTTAAGGAAGAGAAGGAGATGAATAGGCTTTTTCTTTTTATTTCACCTTAACGAAATGATCACAAGACTTGCCGTTATATAGTCTTATTACATGGCTCATGCTCTTAAATAACTCATAATATATCTTGCATTCTAACAAGATAGATTTATGGGAATTTACAAAACATTAAACTAGACATAAAAATACGAACAGTCACGATACATATACGTAAGACATTCATGAATTTGATGTAATTACTATTAAGCTTTACTACATGTGGATCTTAGTGGTATAGGTACTTGCCCGTTCCAAACCCATTTTAATTACAAGCAAATTATTTGTCGAGGGCAAATCCGTTGTTAGTTATCAATTGTTGTTCTTTATTTATTTATTTTTCAAAGGAAGAAATATGTTTGGATAAAACTAGTGCTCCACGCTTCGAGACGAAAGTTAATTATGGTGCTCCTTAGGAGCTGATTCCTCACCTGGGCCTAGAAATGTTTGGTGGGCCAGAGATGATGTATGCCATTAGCAGTTTTGAACAAATTCATTGGCCAATCATCGGAGAATGCTAATTGGAGCCGTCACCGACGAGAAGACAAAAAGATAACAAAGACAAGCAGACAATCACTGTGTTTCAATATTATACACACCAAAGGAGAAAATGCTTAGCCTCGTTAGATTCTTGATTTTTCCATATTTGATGATGAATCTCCGTTCTAAACAGGGCTTTGCTAGCATAATGGTCTTCGGGCTATTGTGAAAGTAAATAGCATATTGTGAGCCACAAATTCTTAAATGAGTAGATCCCACAATAATTTATAATTTATAATTTTTTATTTTTTTGTTGTTCAAAACAAGCTGTCAATCTCACGGTAGGTTAAGAACTGTCAAATTAGCATTTCTCTTCTAACAACGTCTTTCGCATTGAATGGTAAGATTTATTCATCCCACACTATACTGCTCCAGTTTGCTTTGCTTCCGAGCAGAAGAGGGAAGGAAAGACGGTCCTATATTATATTTTGCTTTCACAGGTCCCTTGCAAAAACTAATAGAACTAACTTAACCATAACCGCAAATTTGGTTACATGAAGCATTGTTCAAGCTTTGCAAAGAACTGCATGCATGGACGAGGGAAGTTGGCACGTAACTCAATTTCGGAAGGAGTTGTGTGATTGGGTGGGGACTTTTCGTGACAAGTTGAGACAACGGGGACAAGAGTGGCCAATCCTCGTTCTCTCTTTCTTAGAGATCAAAACCCATTTCTTCTCTTCTTCCTTAGAATATTCTGTCCAACTTGTTTAGACTTGAATGAATCTCTCAAGAAAATAGAGCAAGAGGGAACTATTAATTATTCTACTCTTGCTCAAATTTTTTTTTATCAATAGAAAATATTTCTTTCATATTTTCAAGATCTCAAGATGATACATGAGAGATTCAAAACAAAAAAAATCACAAACCATAAAGTAAAACAATAAAACACAAATTGTTGTGATAAATACACTCTCATCACACAAAAACATATCTGTCTCACCATCAAAACAGATGGAACGACGGCCGATCACCGAATCTCGCATCATCTTAAATGATGAGCACACACAATAATCTCCTTCTTTAATAGCTATGGCTTGCCCAGTGGACGATGCATGTTTAGGTTCAGCATCCTCAACACCATCACCGTACAGAGACACCAAAAACGAGTTGAACGGACTCCCAAATCTAGATCAAGATCGGGAGAGATTGAACAAGCACAAAATTGCCTCTAAAGAACTCCGAGATCTAAATCTAGATCGGGAGATGAGAACTTTCAAAACTCGGAGAAGTCATGTAATCGCTTCCAATGCAGTATGAACTCACCGTATTCTTCCGCGATCCTGTCGAACTTCTTGGTTTGGAGGATTTGAAGCAACAGGTTAATTCCTAACGATACTGCCAGCAAGCAAAGAAGAGCATCAGTAGCGAGCAAAGAAAAAAAACAAAAAAATATAGAGAAAAACAAAATATACTCCAAGGTCAAATTGGGAGAGAAAATCCCAATTCGAGTTGAGAAGATGGAACCTTCCTCAACCGGGAGTTATTTCTCAGTCGATGTCTCAATTGAGGGAGCTTGGAGTGGAAGAGACAAAAAGGAACTAGAGAGAGATGGGTGAGAAGAGAAAGCGACCAGGGTTTTTCCGTGACACAATACATCTTGACAAATTTTTTGTTCAAAATTCAAAACCACGCATTTACGCGTATTAGTCTCAATATAGACCTCATAGCTTTTACAAAGATTTATTGGTCGTC